TGCCCGTTTCTCACATCCTCGCCTCACCGGATTTTTTTATTTCCGTTGTTGTATTTTTCTTTGTTGCGCGTAATGTTTCCACAACTTTGCGGCGTTTTCTAATGCGGGGACCACATGCGGGGGTCATCTCAGAGACCGCGGCCGCGCTGGTTTTCACGGGCCACTTGCGCGACACCTGCGATCGAAAGAAAGATGGGATCATTGGACTGCTCAATCAGACTCGGATGTGCCGTGAGGCTTTCCACGGTCGCTGCGACGTCTTCATATACACCTGGTCGACGCTTGAGAAGGCGGCAGCACCATACAACACACAGGGACGCACCCTATTGGCACCGAGCAATTCGTCATCCTGGGCGTGTCTGGAGGCGGTCTCTCGTGCGCTCGAGCCGACCGTTGTTTCAGCAGTCGTCCAGCCAGCCAGACCAGAGGTGCAGCCGAGTATGCAGTCGTGGGGCCGGTTAGGGGAGAGCCTCGCGAGCTTTCGCATGAACTCTGCGGCGGTGATAGGCGGGCTTGATTTGATGCGCAGTTATGCTTCATCCATGCGTGTCAACTACAGTGCCGTCGCGCGTATGAGGCTGGATATGGGGAGCCGCCGGTGGACCAGGTTTGGGCACGTCTTTCTTGCTCCGATGGGCTGGGCGAATATCCGCTCGAGGGCGGACGAAGATGCGCGCGGCGGAGGTCAGCCAGGCCTAGCCCGGGAGGTGAGCACGTGCGACGTACCGCGCGTCAAATTAACCGACTTTTGCATGTGGTCGTCGCCACCCGCCGCCCTCCTCGATGCCTTTGAGGAGCTGCGGGGCGGACGCTTTGACAGCCTCATCTTGGGTGGAGGAGGCGCTGCACCGTGCGACTCGCTGCTGAATCGGTCCGCTCCACTGCGGGGCCTGAGCGATCGGGCGAAGGCGGAAAGGCGCCAACGGGAGCAGGACGAAGCTACAAACGGCTCGCTGCTTCTCGGCGGCCTCCTTGCAAAGGGCGTGCGGCCCCGCAGCTCTGCGCCTGTCTCTCGCCCTGCCCCTGAGACAGTGTTTGTGATGTTGCAGGTGAACGGCTGCCAACGTACTCCGAGAATATCCTCTTCTGTGCCTTGAATCGTGCGGGCATCGGCCGCTCACGACGCCCTGACGGTAGACGGGCATGGCAGAGCAGAGCTGTTGCAGACGCTCGGCGCATCTTGGCTGCGACTGCAGCGCCTTTCCCCCTGCTCCCCCAGTTGGCCGCTCGCAAGCCGCGGGTGCGTCCGGCCAGCCTCCCAACCCGCGTGGCGGACCCGCAGCCGCCTTCCCTTACCCGAAGCACTCGTGGCCGCATGAACGCAAATGCGGCATCATGGACGCGAGGCGCCGCCGGTGGGGTGCGAGGAGCTTAGGGGGACGGCGGGTGAGCGGGAGAGATCGACAGAGAGCGCAAGATGGGCAATAATTCTAGAAGATACGCGTGGCACTGACCGACACATAAAACACCAAAAAATGCACCTTGGACCGTTGTCTGTTGTCACGCCTCACTAGCTCCGTGGTCACCCGCTTGTTGTGTTGTGCGCATGGCAGCGACAGCGTCCGCTCTCTGCGGCGACACGGGCCATTGTAGCTTTCACAATCTTGCCGCAAGTGCACTTGTGCTTGGCATCAAAGGCCTCCAGCCCCTCGCCTCCTTCGGGATGTGTGCCAGCGCACCTCACGCAGTCACACTCAAAGCCCCACGGGTCGAGGGTTTCCTTGCTCCCCGCCTCAAAGGAGCGCACATAGCAGTACGTGAGCTCCTCGCCGCGCGATATGGGGGAGATGGACTCGAGGGCGAGATGCCGACCGTGGGCAGTCATGACGCAGTTCGGCAGGCAACTGTGGTTGATCATCGCGGCCTCCGGGTACATGGCGCTGCCTCGAACGCGCTCCCGCTCGTCAAATAGGTGGAACGAGTTGCATGCCTCCGCCCCGACCAGACGCAAGGCATCCGCCTCGTCAACCAGTCGTCCCGCTTGCAGCTTGGCGAGGCGCACGATGCGCGCAGCAGAGGAGGCCGACGCGCCGGAGCGTGCAACCTGTTGGCACTGCGCGGTCGCTTGCTCAAAAGAAGGCTCGCCGTCGAGCGCCGGCTGCGAGTGCCGGTGATTCGCCTCGGACGCGCGCTGCGCGAAGGCGCGCAGCAGAAAGCACGCCGTCGATCTCTCGCGGGGAGAGAACTTTCTGCTCTTCATGCTGTGAATCCTGCTGAGCCCTGCGCAGCACAAAGCGTGGCCCTTTTCCTGGGACCATGAACGGCACTTGGGGCTGCACCAGGCGCTCGCACAGCCCTCGCAGCGCAGCGGTTGCGCTGCAGCACTCCAGCAGAGGCAGGCGCTGCAGGCCTCGCTCAGCGACTCTCCGTGTGGGTACGAGTAGCTCACGTCTTCAAAGTCGTGCATTATGTGCGAAAAAGAGGCGAACGAGGCGAGCTGTTCGCCCGGGGCGATGTCTCGCACCGCCACGATTCCTCGGCCACGTCCTGGCAGAGTTCGAACAGCGAATGAAACGTCAGCGCGCTCACTGAGGAGACTATCAGTTGCGGCATGCATCGACTTGGAACTGCGGCGGCGACAAAATCTGCCCGCGTGGTCAGTTTCAGCTCACGGTCAAGCTCAGCGTCCAAGCCAGCGTCTAAGATAGCGTCGTCGAGCACGCACGTCGTCGAGCACGCACGTTGGTCGGCACGTTGGAGGCACGTCGTCGGGGACGTCCGCGAGGCAAAAGAAAATCAGTGTGCGCCCCCGCCCACCCCTTCACCGCACCACCTTCCTTTAGCTCGTCTTCGGGACGTGTGTACGTCACAACCTCACGTGCGAGTTGTGGCGGGAGAGGAACGAGCCGGTGCGCGCTTGGCGCGCCGCACCGGCGTACGACGCCGCTCTGGGGACGCGCGTACCCACCGCGGTCGATACGCCCTCGCACCGTTTCCTCGCTCGTGGGGCCGCGTTGTCAAAGACACCGCTGTGCCCGAGTGCCTTGAGCTCGCGCCTGGCCACGGAAAGCTCCTCCTCGAGGGTTGCCGCGGCCTCTTGTGCCTCCTTCGCAACCATTCTCCAGCCTTCCAGTTCGCCGGCTAGGGCCTGCTGCTGAAGTTCTCCCAGCTGCGGCATTCCGGACGATGCGGCTGCCGACGGCACGGGTGGAGGCGCAGGTGCGGCCGCGGGTGGAGCGGCCACGGCCGCGACGGTCTCGAGCTCTTTGACCCTCGCCTGCAGGGCCGCGAGCTTGCGCTCCCTGCTCTCGAGCTGCGCTCGTTGCTCGTCGCGTGCCGCTCGCAAGCTCCGGATGTCATCCTCGTGCTCCTGCGTCGCGACGAGCTCCTGCGCAGCACCGGGCAGCGCCCCGGGCTGCGGAGTGGACGCCGTCGCGAGCGCCGCCTCTGCCGTCTTCAGCGCCTCGCGAAGGCGCTGTGCCTCCTCCTCCGCCGCCTTGCGGCCGGCGGACCATGCTGACACCGCCTCGGCGTGGAGAACCCGCTGCCGTTCCACCTCTGCCCTCTGCTCGAGCAGCTGCTCCTCAAGCTTCGCATTGGACTCGCCGAGCAGCACGAGCCTGGCCGCCTGGTTCTGCTCGGCCTGCTCCCGAGCGGCTGCAACAGCCGCCTCTCCCTCCGCCGCTCGCGCCTCGAGCTCGCTCCTAGCGCGTGCGGCCGCTTCTGATGCCGCCACAGCTTCCGCCGCTGCCCGCTCGGCTGCCTTGGCCGCCGCCCTTTGCACCGCCTCGCCCTGCTCCGCTGCGGCTGCTCGAAGCGAACCATTCTCGGCCGTCAGCCGCGAAAACCCGAAAATACCTGGGTTTTCCCGGGTATTTCGGGTATTCCCCGCACTGGACGCTGGAGATCGTCGTGGGTCACTGGTAGGCCTTCCTTATTGTTGTTCAGCCGGCCTAACGTTAGCTACTGTTGTTGGGGAGCCCCACTGTTGTTCTGTTGTTACTGTTAACACTAGCAACACTGTTCAGCTCCCAACGTTAAACAGCTCTAGAGGGGACGAGACGGCGGCGGGGCCGCAGCCGAAAAGGGCTCTAGGAGGGGGGGTCGGGCCCAGCGCCTGCCCAGCGCCCGTCGCATAACTATCGGGATGCGAACAGAAGGAAGGACCGAGAGGAAGGGGAAGACACCCCGGAGTGAGAGTAGGGAGACCACGGAGGGGGGTCCGGCGCTAGCTCCGAGTAGGAGGGGGGGGGGGGGGGCGTTCTGCTGATAGGCGGGAAACCCGGAGCGCGGAGCTAACCCTCGGAGACCCGTGTTTATTTTATGGCCCTTTCCCTGCGAACGCGCACCCCCCCTAGGGGTCAGGGCTCTCTAGCCCGTAGCCCGACGCCGATCATCGTCCGGCCCGCTGGGTGCGCTTCTTAGCTCCCCGGCCCTGGCCCCTGGATGTGAGGTTACTAACTGCACTCCAAGGGCTCCAAGATGCGCCCCCCGAATGGCACCGATGCTAGAGCTCAATCTCCCCCTCTGGCAACGGGATCCCCCTCTCGAGCTCAAATTGCTGAAAGACTCTCAGCGTCGCGAAATGGCGGAAGCGGCGCGCGAGCGCCCTCGCGCTGTCGCCTCTCCCCTCCAGCCCCGACGGCCGTGTGTGCGACGCGCCTGCGGCCAGCAGCGCCTATTGCTCACCCGCGCATAAGGTTTGGCCAAATGTAGGTGGACACGTGACCGCATCGGCCTGCCGCCCGCCTGCGCTCCCACCGCCAAGTTGTTGCTTGCGTGCCGCTGCAGCGGCGTGTAGCCCCATGCGTCGGTCGCCTCCACGTCCGCGTCCGCGCCGAGCGCCTCGAGAAGAAGCGCCGTCGACATCTCTCCCGCCCGGCTCATGCCGCAGACGTGCAGCGCCGTGGCGCCGCCGGTGGTCACCTGGCAGCAGGCAGCTCTCGTCTCCCCCCGAATGCGGTGAAACGGCACCGACACCCGAGCGGCTCCCTCACCTCGCGAGCAGCGCCGGGCTGCGCCTGCAGCACACGGCGCACCGCCGGCGGCCCGCCCCGGATCGCGGCGCTCAGCAGCGTGTAGCCTCCCCCCGCATACACCGGACCCGGCAGCGAGTTGTGCTCCTCAAACTGCTTCCCGATCACCGCTGTGCCGGCGGCGTCTCGGAGCACCCGCCCGCCGTAGATGCCTGCTCACGCCGGAGACAGTGAAGAGAGGCGACGCCCACACGAGAGTGGCGCCCAGCATTCAGTCGCCTGGCCCGACCGAATCCGACTCGGCCTCGAGGCCCTCCGCCATCGACACGGCGCCTCTGCGAGCAGGCGGCTGCCCGGCCCGGCGCAGCCGCCGCCGCATCAGCCGCACCTCGCAGCCGGCAGCACTCAGCGTCTCAAAGCCGCAGCGCTCGTAGAGGCGGACCGCCGCGCTGTTCGTTTCCGTGACACCGAGCAGCAAGTGCTCTCCGGCGTAGTCGGAGGAGCGCACTGCCTCGACGGCGGCCTCGACGAGGGATTGGCCGACGCCGCGGCCTCGGGCGCCCTCCCGCACGGCAAGCGAGGCAAGGTACGGCTGCAGCCGCGCCAGCTGCTCGGGTGAATATGCGCCACCGGCGAGCCGCTGCTGGTACTGCGGACTGTGCACCTCGACCGAGCCGAGGATATGACCGCTCTCCTCCTCGGAGGTGGCGACGAGGACGTGGTTGATGCGGAGCCTTCGCTGCAGCGAGAGCCAATCGCCTGGCAGCTGCCGCCACCGCGGCAACTCGGATGGGAAGGTGGCCAGGTTGAGGAGGCAGAGGCCGAACGCCTGGGAGCGGGCGCACGGCTGGACGAGAACCATCACAGCAGTGAAGATCGAGGCTTTGCGATTCGCGGTTCATGTTGTTCACGGCGTCGTCAAAAAAATGTATAAGGCGCGGGCCCTCAGCGGAGCTGGGAAGAGGACCGCCGCAAGCGGCGTGGCGTGGAGCGGTTGTGCATCCCTCCGGGGGCCCCTCTGCGCCGGGGAGGCGTTGTTGGAGGCTAGGACGCAAGCGTCCGTCGCCCTTTTCAAACTCGGGGCCCACTCCGCTACGCTCCGACCCGAATTTGGAGGGCCTAAAAGTTTATGGTGTTGCTGCGCAAAAGGGGTCGGACACCGGGCGCAGCTCATGCTAAGAGCTAGAAGAGGAGATAGAGAGAACAACCACCCTGTCCCGTTATTGCGTACACCAACACCACAAAACGCTCTCTCTCTCCTGTCCTCACTCAGGGGGGTCACAACTACCAAGTCCCTCGACTAGCTGCCACAGGGCGCAGCTGCCACAGGGCGCAGCTGGAGACGCTCCCCCTCAATCGGCATCCACCCCCACCCGCTCCAGCCCCACTTCTGCTGCCGAGAGAGCTGAATCGAAGCAAGCGAGCCATTGCATCTTGGCCACGAGCACGGCGGAGTCGGCGTCGTAGCGCGCATCGTTCCCGCTCATCGCCCATTCCTCCCGTGACGTGTGTCGGCCGCGATTCGATGTCGCCACCTTCATCGCCAACGAGGACTCCCTCGACTGCAGGGGGGCTCCGGCGCGGGGAGGGACTCCGCCTGCTGCGCTGGCCGACTGCGCCCTCCTCCTCCATGGGATCGATCCGATTCCGCAGCGGCGGTGCTGCGCGGGAGGCGGCCGCGGGCACGCTGGGCTCGATCAGCGGCTTTCCCCTCAGGTAGCGCGAAAGCACGGATTTGGCGGCCGTTCTTGGCTTCAATTTTACGAATGTCTTGGCACCAGCTGAAGGCTTGGGTCCGACATCGCCGGATTCGTGCACGGTATTCGGATTTTGGCTATTTGTTCGTGTGGGGGTATATCGCAGATTTGTCAATGGTACCGCGTCTGCGACGCGGGCGCCTTGCGAGCAGAGCCCTTAGGACACCCTTTATATCTTGCGCGGTCAAAAAGCGGTGGCTGAAAACAAAAAAAGCGCCTAGGGGCGGCACCCTCATACGCGTGGCTGCGAGTCCAGTCGCGTCGGCCCCGACTGCCTCTGTGTGTGTTGTCGGTGGTGTGTTGTTGTTGTTGTGGTGGTGTGGTTGGTGGTGGTTTTAGGTGTGTGTGTCAGTGTGTGTGTGTGTGTGTGTGTGTGTGTGTGTGTGTGTGTGTGTGTGTGTGTGTGTGTGTGTGTGTGTGTGTGTGTGTGTGTGTGTGTGTGTGTGTGTGTGTGTGTGTGTGTGTGTGTGTGTCTGTGTGTGTGTCTGTGTGTGTGTCTGTGTGTGTCTCTCTCTCTCTGTGTGTGTCTGTTGTGAGTGTGTGTCGCGCCTTCCTTGCTTTGGGGGGGGGGGGGGATGAGGACGCTCTTCCCAAGAGCGCCACTCTTGGACCCAGTCAGCTTGCCTCGCCCTTCTCTCCCCCTCGAGCTCGTCCCGCCCCCGCCCCTGCCCCCGCCGCAGGCGACGTCGTTCCTCACTGGGGCTCCTGCGGCCTTGAATTATGGCGGCGCGCCGGCGGCGTTTGTCAACTCTCCCAGCAAGGGTCGTCGAGGGCGCTTGCGTGGCCGTGGCCATGGCCGCGCCCGTGGGCGCGGGCGGCCAGGCGGCGGCGCAGAGGGTCGACTGGGCAAGGCGCTGGGGAGCAGCGGGCACAAGGTCGGCCACTCTTGCGTAGCCAACTTGCCACGAGGGAGGCGCTGGTGAGATTCGACGGTTGAGTTATAGGCGACCGACGAAGAGGTGGAGGTGGTCGACGGGAGAAAGCCAGCAGACGGGGAGGCAGGGCAGTGGTAGAAAGCTGTGGTGCTGGCACGATCTCGTCTCCACGTATTGACTAATGAGTGTCTTAGACCCCTGTGTGCGCTCTCGGTGTGTGTGAGTAAGTGGTTGTTGGGGTGTGTGTTGAACAGGCACGGAGAACTCGGAAGAAAGATTTTTGTGTCTGGGGCCACTTTTCGGATCATGTATGCGGGAGGTGTGCGCTCGCTCTGCCTGCGTGTGTCTGGCCGTCTTTTGTGGTCTTTGTATGTACACCGCAGAAAGCACACGTCGCCGATTCTGCGAGAGAGGGCCGAGGCGTCGCTAGAGACCGGGAGGGTGTAAGCCTCTCGCTCTGCCGCGCCCGCGGCGACGCCGACGGCCGACGGTGGTGGGCTGCGCAAGCGCTGCGCTCTTCAGCATGCGTTCGCCTCTTCCCACTCACGAATCTGCCGGCGCAGCGTGTGGTTGGGGGCGAGGAAGCTTTGCACGAGCGCCTCGCCCGTCATCGGGCTCGTCGACTTGGTCGCGAGCCAGCGCTCGATCGCCGACCGCTCGTACGAATGCCCGTCCGCCGCCATCACCGGGTCACTCATGAGCTCGGTCGTGATCGGGCAGATGAAGTCGGCCGGCGGCTCCTCCTCCCTCGGAGCCAGCGCCTCTGCAGCCGACGACGGCCCTTGCGCCACAACCGCCCGCCTCTCCTGCTCCAGCCTCGCGCTCTCCTCGAGCGCCGCCGCCAGCTCCGCCTCCTCCGCCGCCGCCACCGCCTCCTCCGCCGCCTCCTCTGCCGGCGCCTCGGCCTCTTGCGACGGCCCAGCGCCTCCCCCGCCGCCCTTCTTCTTCTTCTTGCCCCTCTTCTTGGCCGTCTTCTTCTCCTCGGGGCACTTCCCCGCCTCCTCCTCCGCCAGCAGCGCCGCCGCAGTCTCCTCGGCCGCCCTCTCGGCCTCCACCCTCTCGGCCGCCGCCCTCTCGGCCACTGCCCTCGCCACCTTCGCCTCAATCTCCGCTCTCTTCGCCTCCCTCGCCGCCGCCTCAAGGGCAGACGCGCACTCGGCGTGGCCCTCCTCCTTGGCCAGCTGCAGCGCCGTACGCCCGGCCGAGGTGCGCGCCGCCGTGTCAGCGCCCGCCCGCTGCAGGCAGAGCACGACGGCGGGGTGGCCATGGTAGCACGCGATGTGCAGCGGCGTGACGCCGTTCTCCCCGGCTTGTTCGACCGCCGCGCCAGCAGCGAGAAGCAGCCGGACGATGTCGACGTGGCCCTCCTGGCACGCCATGTACAGCGGCGTGAAGCCGCCGTGCTTGGCTTGGTCGACCACCGCGCCAGTCTCGAGGAGCAGCCGGACGACATCGACGTGGCCGTTCTGGCACGCGATGAACAGCGGCGTGGTGCCGCCGTCCTTGGCTTTGTTGATCGCCGCGCCCGCCTCGAGAAGCAGCCGTGCGATGTCGAGGTGGCACTTCTCGCACGCCTTGTACAGCGGCGTGGCGCCGTTGTTCTTGGCTTTGTCGACCACCGCGCTGGCCTTGAGGAGCAGCTGGGCGCACTCGAGGTGGCCCTCTTGGCATGCGGCGTACAGCGGCGTGAAGCCGTCAGTGTCTGCTTGGTTCACCGCAGCGCCCGCGGCGATCATCAGACGGGCGCAGTCGATCTGGCCAGCCAGGCACGCAATGAAAAGCGGCGTGGTGCCGTCGTCCCTGGTTTGGTCGACCGCCGCACGCGCCTCGAGAAGCAGCCGCACGCACTCGAGGTAGCCCTTCTGGCACGCGATGTACAGCGGCGTGGCGCCGTCGTCCCTGGCTTGGTCGACCGCCGCGCTGGCGCCGACGAGCAGCTGGATGCACTCGAGGTGGCCCTCCTCGCAAGCGATGAACAGCGGCGCGGCGCCGTCTTCCGTGGCTTGGTTGACCGCCGCGTCGGCAGCGAGAAGCAGCCGGGCGCACTCGAGGTGACCTTTCTGGCACGCAATGTGCAGCGGCGTGAACCCGTTCTCCTCGGCTTGGTCGACCGCCGCGCGAGCCTTGACAAGCAGCCTGGCGATCTCGAGGTGGCCCTTCTCGCACGCCATGAACAGCGGCGTGGCGCCATTCTCCTCGGCTTGGTTGACTGCCGCACGCGCCTCGAGAAGCAGCTGGGCGCACTCGAGGTGGCCCTCCTCGCACGCGACGAGCAGCGGCGTGAAGCCGTCAGTGTCTGCTTGGTTCACCGCAGCGCCCGCGGCGATCATCAGACGGACGCAGTCGATCTGGCCAGCCAGGCTCGCAGCGCTCAGTGGCGTGGTGCTGTCATTCCTGGTTTGGTCGACCGCCGCGCCGGCCTCGAGAAGCAGCCGGGCGCACTCGAGCTGGCCCTTATCGCTCGCGATGTACAGCGGCGTGGCTCCTTTGGCGTTGGCTTGGTTGACCGCCGCGCTGGCAGCGAGGAGCAGCCGCGCGCACTCGAGGTGGCCCTCTTGGCACGCGACAAACAGCGCGGTGGAGCCAATGCCCGTCGTCGCCCCCACGCTCGCGCCGCTCTCGAGCAGCAGCCGCACGGCGTCGGCCTGCCCGTACCAAGCGGCGTAGGTCAGCAGCGTGTACTGGTTCTCGCCCTCGAGCCGCGCGTCGAGCAAGGCCGTGAGCGCCGCGCCGCGCGTCCGCCCGGCGAGGAGGGCGCGCAGCGAGCCCAGGTCGCCCCGGCGCAGGTCGGCGAGCACGGTTGGGCTGATGGCGCCGCTCATATGTGTGGCGATTGAGCTGGTTCTCGGCCCGAATCCACAACGACAGACGGCGGACCTGTCCGCTGCATGAGACGCGGGCGGCGGGCGCGCGGAGAGGCAGCGTGAGGTGACGTTACGGCTTTGGAGGACCCGGGGGTAGGGGGTGCGCCCGCGTGCGCGGAGGGGCGGCGGGGCGTGAGGTGACGGCTGACGCTGTCCGACAAAACTACCGTTCGTTACAGCAATCTAGAGACCTGAGAGGGAAGAGATTGAGTAGGGGGGTAGGGTGTAGGCGAGGAGGGTTCCAAGCTAGGGTGCCCACAGGACCCAAAAGAAAATAGCTTTCCGGCTCAAAAAGGGACGCACGAGGCAAATCTGATGTTGGCTTGTTCCACTAGGAGCGAGGCCTCTTCCGTTGGGGGACCGAGTGACTAGGAAACGAGGGTTCCCCATTGTGTCCCGCTCCAGCGCGAGCGTGACACTGCACTTGGCGCCGAGCGCCCGCGGCACAGACCTTGTGCAAGCCGACCCTCGGTGAGTGCACCGGTCCGGACCGACGGCGCTCGGTGTGGAGCAAGCAAGACCCCCCCCCCCCCCCCCCATCGGCGCGCGCTCGCCATTCCAACGGCCGCCAGGAGCACCAAGAGGACTCCTCATGGCTGCTTGCAAGTGGGCTTCGACCGGCCTCGGCTGGGGGGGCGGGTTGTCCCGGCTGCGGACGCCTTCTGCAGCCCCGTGGGATGGGGACAGCACCCCAAAACTGCCCCTCGGCGGCATACAGCACTGCCAGCCAGCCTCTTCCTCCTCCTCAAGGGCTGTACTATAGGCCATATTGCGCCGCCTCCTACTGGCAGCCGGGCGGGCGCGCGCCGCGGGCGCCTCGGCGCGCGCACGGCTCGCAAAGTTCGAACGAGTACTGCCGCCCGGCCGCCTCAAGGCTGCCGGACGGCAGTACTCGCCTTGCAAGGCGCGCACCGGCTGCTCTGGCTGCTGCGCCGGCGGCCGCTGCGCTGGCCGCTGCTGCGCCGGCTGGCGGGCGGTACGGCCGCCGGCGGCCGCTGCACCCGCGCCTTCCCTCGCGGGCGCCGTCGCGCCGCGCGCGCCCAACTCTGCTGGCACACGGCACGCGTCGTCACACAGCCGCGGAGAACATGCACTCAGGGTGTGACCCGCGAACGCCGACAGTCGGACGTGCCCGCCGTGGGCGCGGATGATGCAGCAAAGATCAAAAACTACGTAACAGCCACCCCTTCTTCTCAGCAGAGTCCTCCTTGGAATTCGGAAAGGGGTTAAAGATAAAAAGAAACCTAACCAGGCTGGTCCGCCGTTTTTCAGCCCGGGCGGGAGGGGGCTTAGCTTGCCCTTTGTC